TCCTAAAACGGGTTTCGCCATATTGCTTAGACGGCGATTCCATTGCACTTTGTAGGATTTCGAATTAATTTTTCAATTTTCTCCGCTATAATTTTGCTCAAATTACAAATCTACAGGGTGTATTTGTTACATCTGTAACACAACAAATTTCCACACTATTCAGTAGCTACTCTCCCGTCGCTTCCATTACTTGCATCACGTAGCAAATAAAAGTAAACTGTCGGTATAAAAATCTTTTACTTCTGCTCGGATATATTTACGACAGTACGGTAATTAATCACATCATAGGTAAACATAATCGGGATAATGCCGGGTATAGAAAGGAAGAGAATGCCAGTCGATGAGGGCAAAAACTCGTCTGGCATTGAATCGCTCGAGTCATTTGTTTCGTGAGTGTCTGCTGTCAGCGTCACTAGACGACGACGACGACGCCGCACTAAGTCACTAAGAAAAAAAAAAACACAACCCTATATTCTGCGTCATACGATATTACGTTTTACATCCATATAAAACGCCCTTTCTTTGACTAAACGCCGCTGAATAAAGTGCATGTTTGTCTTCAACATATTTTCCCAAATTTAGCTATCAATAACATAGTCTAAACGTGGCTGTTACGTCGAACACGGGACAGTACAACTATTTTTTAATTAGTTTTTCTATGAATTTCCACCAGCATGACGGACGTGCAGCGCCTAACCGCCGATTCATTTTCGGTCGAATTCAATTAAATTTTGATTCAACCGTCCCGACACCACAAACTGTTTGTAAATATTACATCGCGCACCACAATTAAAATTAATTTTGCATTATGCTGCCCTACATGCTTCATCACAGTTGATGAAACGCAAAGAAATATTAGCACTCTTATAAAACATGTACTGTAAGCATAACAATCAAAAATATAGATTCAAAAAAGTCAATGAGATATCAATTCCTGCAGCGCCTCTGGTTTCCTGCACAGGCAACTATACAACACACTTACTGAATAAATCGACCTTCTATTTATCTTGTTGTCGCTATAAATCGATTCTCTAATGTTCGCGAAACATTTTATATTGTGTAATTGGAGATTTACCGGAGGATGGAAAACGGAGCTGGAAACAGGATGCTGTTGAGTCGGAAAAAATTTATTTCTTCGTCGTTTTTCTTTCGGTTAACCGCACTCATTTAAATTTTTTTCGCTCTCTACTTTCTGTTTTCGCCAAAGGGATGCGTATGTACCGGAATCAATGGGTTTGCTAATACGCGAATGAATTATGAGGGGGATTTTCGACGCTTCGACTTTATTCTATTAAGTACACCAAAAGTAGAATGATTTTTTTATTAGAGTTGCTTTGGGGGTTTTATTTCCATTTCACATTTTCCCCTGTTTTTTTTTTTCAATTATATTTAGGGGCTTATAAAAAGCTTCCTTTCTAATCTTGGTGATGTTAATATTGCGGTGTTGCGAGGTTATATGTTTTTCTACGACAATCAAGATTTTTGAAGGGTCTTTAAGATAATCAAGAACTAAGTGCTACGTCATTTACTTCGGTTTTCTGAAAGGAAGTTTTTGATCCACTCCGTGAAAACTACATTTTCGCGCGTAATATTTGGCAAGACTTTATACACACGAGGCCAAATTCACTATTAATGAGCGCACTAACTCAACATTAAAGTTTGTTCTTTGTTATCACATTCTGCAGAGATTAGGACTTTAATCCTTCAGACAATTAGGTTCGTATCTTTAAAGAAGATCTCGGAACGCGTTGAAAATTTGATATGTCCTTTTACGCCCTTACGGCTTCCAAGCTCGGCTGAGGAATTTGAGCTTCGAGCTTAACAGCGTTTTCGGTAGGTCGAATTATTTCATTAATGTTTTCAAAGTATCTCTAAAAAATGGTTAGCGAATTTTTGAAAGCATTTTTCTTTAATCTGTTAATTGGACGGATTTTTGAGCGAGAACTTTCATTCCGTTCTTTTTTTTTTTCGACATAAATTTTTCTGTATCATTCCAGAAGGAAAGAAAAACGTGATTAATACAGCAAAACGGTTTGAATTATAATATTAATTCTAAAGCCATTCTCCTCTCCCGACTTGATAAAAATGCCGAAAAACTCGGCGAAAGCCAGTGCCCAATTTTACTAAAACGAATGTTGATTGCTTTTTGTAAAGCAAGCGTATGATTGTCCCGAAGGAATTATAAAGCAATTCAAGCTGATGAATGTTTCCGCTAATCTTGCCCATTTTAATAATGCACTTTTAATTGCGCCATTGTGAAGTAGTTCGCAATGATTTAGCGGGCCGTTTTGGAAGTTGCGCGCTTTAAAATTGCAACCGATGCCGCACCGGTTGGTGACTCACTGCACGGCAGAAACCGCTGATTACCGTTGCCAATCTAATTAGGTCGATATTCAAACGTGAATTATCCGACCGTCTTCGCCGCTTCGATCCCAATCGGGCTCGATTGTGCGGTCGAAATAATGGTCGTCCGATTAAAAGAACATCTAATTTACACGTTTCGAAATTACCTTATTCGTCGACTCGAAAGTTAATTTCGACTTTCCTAACAACGTCGTCCGAACTTCGAAAAACGTATGTATAAATCTCTTCTATATAAACTTTTAATGAAAGATCGTCTGAAAACAGAGCGAACGCTCTATTAAAGAGTTTAATTCAGTTAAAAGCTGGAGAGTAAGACCCCGACAAGCGAATGAAACATTTTCCATCATTGCCAATTTAGTCTAAGATCAAACTTATTAAGTTGATTCTGGTTATTGAACTACCCAGTTTCGGATCCGCCTCTATTGAATGTAATGATTGATAACTAAGATTAATTAATTTTCTTACCCTTATTATAATAGCAAAACGTATGCATCTTTTTTTTATTGCATGCATATATCTTATACAAACATTTCTTATCACTTAATGTAAAATATAAAAAAATAATAATTATTACATATTACAGTTAGACTTTATATTCATCCCATTAGATGATAGTGTCAGGTTTATTCTGTTAGAAATTTTTCTATGATAACTTGCAGGTTACGGTTCTGTTATTTTCCAGACTCTCCGACTACCTACTTAAATCCGACTTTAATTAAAAGATGACGTAAAATATGGACGTTCCTATGAAACTATCTGAGGAAGGAAATAGGAATTTTTAAAGTTATAAAAGGATTTTTCACGTTTATTTGTAGATATCCCTAGTATGGATAAAGTTTTCTTTAGATGTTATAATTGCTTAATTACTAAGTTTCTTTTGAATATCGCAGGGTTCGTTATCATTATTTTTGACATTTATTATCTACTCTCCACATTTTTATTGATTATGCAATCATTTTAACTCCATTTTTTACTTTTCGTCATCTTTTGTATTACTTACTTATCGATTTCTCCAATGTTGCTTTCGAATCCCTACCTCATTAGACTAACCAAGGAAAAAATACGCCATTAAAGATAGGCTTTTTTCATCATTGTGATCCCCTTTGGTTTACCTTCTTTGCCGAAATCATTTACCGACCTCATTAAATTTGGGCTTTCTCGTTCGAGAGAGCAAAAACCGTTAGCTCATCTTCATCATAAACAGAATAACTTACATATTTAAACTTCCTTTGCTACGAGAACTCGCAAACCCAAACTATGTCCAATCTTATTCCAAAATATTTCAGCGAATTTCCATACGAATAGTTTGTTTTCCGAACAACAAAAACTGCGCCCATTAATTTTCGCAAAATCTGTACTTCCCTTAGCGTTTAATTAGCGTATCTTACGGAACGGCAATAAAAAGGGAATTAATTCAATCTGCTCGAGCGCAAACGAAAATTTTAATTCTTGGCGTTCATGAGATATGCAACGGCGCGAACTATTTATAAACGTCTGTCTAAAAAGGACAGAAGGTAAATTAGAATGCAGGGTCAGAGTTGAGAGTTGTCCTCTCGACGATAAATCTCGGAATTAACATGGGAAGCGGCATCTGATTGGGATGAGCACCGCTTCTGGCAAAAGGACACACGGGTTCCGGATTTTGTCCGGTCTCCCAGAAAAATAGAACGGGCAAATTATTAAAGAATGTTTCTAATTATACATTAGACATTCAATTTATTAATTACTTACCACTATTATCGTTATATTGCCTAGTGATAATTTTGTTGTTATCAATTATCAATTGAATAAACATTAAGATATACATAAATGTTATTTTTAATTTATTATAAAAAGTAAATTAAAATTAGATATAGAACTGGACTAAACCCATTTGAGAATTCCGGGTTTGTAATTTACATTACAAATTTTTTTATAAACTGGATCCAGTTGGCCCTTAATGTTTATAAAGGAGCGAATTAAAGCATTTTCGTCTGAATATTCCTTTTGTGTTGAATAAAAATTAGGATTTACAGTAAGTGGAATAGGAGAGGCATATTAGGAATTTAGAGTTAGAAAATGCGCGAGTTGAATAAAAGAAGATTTCGTTCGTTTCTTTTTCGAAAAATGCCTCACTAAAACTCCAAGTATTTTAATCAAAATATCTGTTAGAATAGATTTTTATGAATACCAATAAAGGATACGCTTTATACGGTTATTTTGCAAGCTGAATGGCATGAAGTATATTTTATTATAAAATTTTAAGCGTCTATTTCAAATTGGCACTTTAATAACGATGTTATAAACTTTACGACAATACGTTTTCATTATTACGGAAAAGAATGTAAGTTGGCATTTTTATGAACGTTCCATACAATTTCATATTTATAACGAGGATCATAAAGTAATGCGAACGTTTTATTGTGACACGAGATAAATATAATAGATATAATATGCGATATATTAAATAAAGCCATATAGATATTTAAATTGGGTTCAGTCAACTGAATTTAAATTAGTATTTTGTTTTGACGTAATAATCTTTAGAAAAATATTTGGTATTAGGTTTTGTTGTAATTTATCGGGAACATTTTAATAATAAATTATTTTTTTAATAGTAGGTAACTTTTGAATAAATGTTTTCTTTTTTATTGCAGGTGAGGTTCTGACTAGTGGCCAACGGTTTTCTTCCTGGACAATTTTTAATCATTTAGATGAGTAAGTTCAATGTACGTGTTGTGTCGTTGTTTGTGGTAAATGTCGAAAAAATTAACCCAATTCAATCTACGCAAACTATAAAAATATCGGTTCATCGTCGGAAAATTCCCTCTAAAAACCGGCCGTGCTAAATCTGACGGAACTCTTATTCAGCTGATGCAGTTTTTGGCAGGGTCTATCAGAGGGTTAACTGTATAAAGTCTATGAAGTGGGCCGATGCGAGGCGCCAATAAATTTTTCATGTTCGAATTTTTGGCAAGGTATCCCCGCCATTTTTATCCCATATTGCGATAATTTCACAGCAGTTGCAGCCAAGTATCTTATTGATCGACCACGGCCAGCCAAAATTCAACAAGTCGATCTTTCGGTCACTTGAAGAGATAATTTGAAAAAGTACTTTTCAATGTGTCATGCACCTACACCACGCTTTAAATCACACACAAAAAGGGCTTTTATACTGCGTAAATATTACCAACAAATGTTATACGTTACTAATTTGTAATAAAAGCTTATATGCAGTATAAAAATTGTCGTAATGTAGCGTGCGAAATCGAGTACATTATACACACGCGAAACTGTTCTTTGATTTGGGTTTGAATTTGTTATACACAATCGCCTTCATTGGAACGAATCCTCCGCAATTAGTTGCTGTTATAGCAAATATAAGTTAGTTTTGATATAATTTGCCAGATAAAACAACGCATTTATGAATATTTAAACATCACGTCGTCTGGGTGTATGGGAAATATGGAGGTAGGCCGCGCCACGTTCGAGTTATTTTCACAGAGGAACTCGTGTAATTGTATAGTGCGCGATGGCAGCCTAAATAAATACGGCCTGTTTGTGTTTGTGTAAATTTTCGGCTTGTTTAAAGGCGACTGAAATTTTTATTTTTACAATTCCCAGAATCATTTTTTACATACCAAACTCGTATCTGTTAATTTATACTCTTACTATACATAAATACGTTGCATTAAAAGCTAATTGTAAACACAACAGTTTGTTGTTTTGCAATTTCATCTAAAACAACGCAGGTACACCGCAAAATATCAAAAGTGCCTACACCTGCGTAACAAATTACACAGTTCCTCGGCGAAACAAATTTCCGAACATTAAAATTTCGGATGTTGTTGCGGCGAAATTATTGCGAAATTAAGCAATGCACGTAAGTAGTATTAATATTTCGTCAAAGTTTTCGTTGTTAGAAACTTGAGGATTTCTCGGCAGCTTTTAGGGATAATGTTTACTGCAGCAACTTAATTTGAATTTATTTATTAATTAACTCCTTTTACAAGTTTCCCGTAAACCGCACGGCACCGTGCGCGTTATCAAGTTTAAAATTTAATCCGAATGTCAGTAGGGAGTTCTTAATTAGCGCTGGTTCGTTATTTAGGAGAAAATCGTATGGGGTTCTTTATGGCGCTCGGCGGAATCGGAAACTTCAAAAAATTTTCATTTATTTTCACGCTACGAAATCTCTACGAGGCTTATTTTATTTTACCTTTTCCTGTAAAAAAAAAGTTACTAAAGCGCTAGTTCTTGTTTCGTATACAAATGTTTGTTTATGATTACTTTTTTCTTTATTTTGTAATTTAAAAATTCTGATGCAAAATTATCAACAAAGCCACTTTACATACACATGGCCTGATCTTGTTCGAAATGATTCCGAACGTACTTTTAAATTATTTCCCAGGAAACAATAGCCTCTTTTGTGTTGAATGGAGGAACGGTCCGATGCGAATCTAACCTAATTTACTCGGGCTCCAATACCCTTTTATATCCCAAATTGACAATTCCGAAGGCATTCTTTCATCAAACCCATTACCCTATCTTCCGGCACGGCATTCCGCGCTACCAGTATAAGGAATTTATTAGCATTAAAAAACGAACAAGAGAAAGCCTTCCGGAGGTCTTTATCGTAAATTTCCTCCCGTTTATCCCTTAAACACATATTGTCCCCATAAACAAGGATGACGGCTTCTATTCTCGGTCAGGCCTCGCGAGATCGTATATTGTCCCTTCGAGAAGTCGGGCGATGAGAGCACGAGCTCCGCGTTGTGTCCCTCTAGTTTCCTCTGCGCCACAATTCGTACGCCAGCCTGTACTGAACAACAATCCATATACTCCATCCAATCTAACGTACCTCTGACGATACATCGCGATGTTGCCACGTCGTCGGTTTTTTCTGCGATTTCAATTAAACGTACGAATGAGTCTACGCGTAATGTAGTGAAGTATTTCGCAGGAATCTATCGATTGTTTCCAAAAACCGGCATAGGGATGGAAGTAAGTGTCGTTGTCAGGCGCGTCACGTGCTTTCCAAACTGCGTTTTCTATATAACTCACGCCAGGCCGACTGCGACGAGGACGGGAAGTAATGGAAGCAGGGCATTCTTTGATGCAATTAGTATCTTACGCCGCAGAGACGGAGGCCCCGGCGTTGGTAGGAGAGCGCGAATTCGGCACAGTCGTTTTGAATATATTTCGTGGTATGATTAATAGATGAATACAGTCGTTTCGAGTGTTTGTAGCGGTACATCTTACGTTTTGCAATACAAATAAATGTTAATTTAACAAGAACAAGGAGGAAACGAGACCAAAACGAAACAAAACCCATTTCAAATGGAATAATGAATTCAATGGGGGTGTTTAGTTTCGAGTTAAGTTTGCTTAATTTATTGCCTAATTAGATTACTTTTTTATTAAATATGAAAATACAAGCACTGTCGTATTAATTACATTTTTTTTGGTCTCTTTTTAAAGTGGTTTTAACGATTAGATTTCATTTTTTGCGTTAATGTGGTGCTCGAGCGCACGACGCTATTAACTTATGGAAGGTCCCCGTCGTGTATTTAAAAAGGGACAGAGTCAAACGTGTAACAGCCCGTTTTGTTTGAGATTTCGTTTTTCGTTCGAGCACGGTTTTTTGCAAATTAGTAAAATTTACACCGGAACGTGTTTCAGCTTTTTAGCACTTTATTCTGATTTTCCACGTGACGTGACTTCGCTTTACTCTGCCATTATAGTTTCGAATATATTCCAAATAGAACACTTTAAAAATGCTGCATTATGTTCAAGTATAATAATACTAATCGCGTTACTGCAAAATATTCTCATGGTGTCAATTGAAATTTATTTCTTTGATTTCATTTTAAAATTTATGGTGGACTCGAAACGGTATAGTGAAAATTATGGCGGTGGGCTTTATGTTTCCGCCAAATTAACGTTGAATTATTAAGAACAAACTCACAAAACAACCGCGGTTTTATTGACATTTTGTTCGTTTTAATTAGTCCGCAGTTACGCGCCCGCCATGTAGATACTGTCAATGGATGCATCGAGGTTGCTGAGATTATCGAGTTTTTCCAGCATCCACCGGCTTTTTAATTAAAAGCAAACAAAAAACGGGGAGATATTATTTTACAGTGAAAAACAGCAACCGCGGCCTCTGTTCCGTCCGTCCGGTTAAAGGTAATTGAATCTATCAACGAACGCACCGTTCAATATTGATTGATCCCGTCTGAAAGGATCAGAGCTGTTAACACGGTATTTTTTCGCGCATCTAATGTCCTGTAATCTAAACCTAAACGAGCGCCGTGATAAAAACGAATAATAGCAAAAAAATTACTATATTTTCAACGCTAAAGGAGCAATTCGTTGAGCTCTATATTTAGAGAAATTAGGCCTCGTCCAATTCGGTCACGACCATTGCCAGAATATGTATCAGTCACGTCTTGCCAAATGCCGTCTTGATGAAGCATCAGTTACAAGAGCCAGTTCAGCTGGCATGTGATCTGGTTCTCCAAAAAGAGCCTCTACTCGACTCTATTTTTTACATACATTTTTTGGACTCATAAAGCAAAAACCTAAAATATTAATTGCAATAATAGCAATATGCAATACATCCAGCAGTAACATTTGGGAATTTCATAGTGAAAGAAACTAAATATTAATATATGCGAATGGAGTAATTTACAACCGCAAAATTCTCAATACCCAGATAATTAAGCTTACAGATGCAAGTCGGTTTTCATAGAAATAACTTTCCGGACTCTTTTCCATTTGCGCGCGTCTTCGTCGGCTCCATCGCGTCTTCTATTCAATATTCTATCTGACTTTCGCGAACTACAAAATTAAAGGAGTAGACATCATTTCATATACATATTCGTTGAACGCCATCCGAATACCCTACTACCTATATATTGTAGCAAATTGATATTCTGTAGGTTGAAAAAGTTTTTATAAGTTTTTGGGGCGCATGAAAATGTGGAGGAGATAATTCAATTTCGAGGTGAAGCATAGTGTGGTATGAGGTCTCGTAAAATTTTTGGATGAGTCTTTCGGCTTTTGCGCTATCTGTGCGATTCATATTACCTATAAAAACCGCGGGTATTTGCGATGGAAATCGTGAAATGAAATTTGTTGAAAAGTCACATTGTACCTAATTTATTCTTCAACGAAATCATTTCGAAAAACACATGAATTAGTTCAGATTTATCCCAACAAGATTATTTCTTTTCTTCTGTTGCCATCGATTTTCGATAACCTTCGGCTGGTTTGGAAAAACTTTTGGCGAACCTCTTGTGTACAAAAATATGTCCATATATTACTTTGTTTTCCAATTCATTGAAATCGAGGACAATATCCTTGAGACTCTAATCCTTTTAAATAGTTTCCTGAATACTTTTGGTCTTTCCAACTTTACCAACAACTAAGTTTAATAGATCTGTTATTTTGAACTTGAGAGATATGGCCGAATTTAGTGGGATATTATGCGATTTTTATTCTAATTCTCGTTCGGGAATATTCAGGTAACGTATTGCCAATATAAATTAATGAAATTACGAATGTTGTTTTGTCTTTTTGAATTCCGGTTTTCCAATTGATATTTCCACCGATGAACTTTTTGGAATCAATAATAGATATTTATAAACGAATGCATTCCTGTTTTTATTATAAATCGTTATAACGCTTTAGTATGTAAAACACGATAGTCGATATGCATTTTCCATTTTATATGTTCGCCAAAATATGAATATAATTGGCATAGTATAACAAAATTATTGAGTCAGGCTTGCGAAAATATTATTACAATAGATGCACAACAATGCTCTATTTATTTTCTCTATTGATTTTTTACCATAAAACAACACCAGACCGGATTAAAATACAGATACGATAACATAGTTGTGCATGTATGGAGGACGTAGAGCAATAAAAATGTCGTAAATTATTGTAATGTATGGCCTGCTCAGAATGTTATGGCGACTTTTATTTTTCAGTTTATAAACTTTTTAACCTACAATTCACGTGGCACAATACACTATATCTTGAGTTATCTCGGATTAAATTGTCAGGTAGGAAATGGAAACGGAAAGCGCATTAGTAGATATTTATTCTACGTTTTACCTAATTTCACGTCTAAAGCAAGATAGATTCTATTTAGAATTTATGTATACGATATAGACACGAATTTACCTCGCAACGCAGCCTATCATATATTCATCAACATCATTATCTCATTTTTCTTTCGGGGCGACACCTCTTCAACATCAAACTATTTTGCGGCGCGCGGGGCCGATAAAAAGATTCCCAACCGCCGTTGGAATGATTGATCTTCCCGTTCGGGCGGCGGCGGGCGGAGGCGGCCGAACGGGAAGGGATCGTGCAGCTGGGTTCCGGTTTAAAACTCGCGTTTTAAGCCTAACTTAACTAATGAAATATCTACTTCACATCCGAATTACCGATTCCATAATCGCTATCGATTTTTCGTCGGGAGGGAAACGCAGGGTATCCTATTAAATTTTTATTCCTCGATTGGTGCCGGTAGGCGAGGTGCACTTAACGCGAGGGGAGCAGAAGGTTGGTTGAATTAATTAAAAAACATCTAATGGAGCTGAACCTATACGAAAGAATGTTATTATTACCTCTAATTAACGAATATATCTGGCCATTAATTTGTTTTTTCATTAAAAAAAATATTAGACGAATGTAAAAATGTAGAATGTAAGTATAGATTAACTTGCAATTTCGTGATCCAGATTACGCAGTTAACTTTCAGTAGTTGTTAATTATTGAAACATTTCCATTTTTTTTTGTTGTTAAACGTGATCGAGTATAATGTAATTAAACAACACGAGACAGTTTTATCGCCATCGTCTATGATATAACGAAGAGGTGTCGTGTTCGCTAAAAGAAAAATTAGATAATGGTAGAGATAGTAATAATAATACGAAATTAGAGATAACGGCCAGGGACTTGTCTTCCGACTGACACGCAAATGTGGGGAATAATTAAAAGTAAACTTCATTGTAGTTAGGTACATTCTGTTGTAGGTAAGCAGTCACGAAAGGTATTTGTTTTTATTACTGATACACCTACTGCTCTAAATTGCTCGCTGATAACGAAGGTTGGTAAAAGCCCTAATTCGAATGAGAGCTTATATGCGTGGAATTTCGTGCTATATCATTACCTGAATAGTTACAAAATTAGGATGTTAGGTATGTATATGTACATAATACAATTAATGCGTTTTGTGTTCGACTATACAGGCGAATTTCATTGAGCTCATCACGGGATTATTAAAATTTGTATCGACCTAATGAATGTGTGAAATAATAATTTTTATTTTCTTTGGCAACATTATAAGAGGTGCCTATAAATTTGGCGCTTTCGCCGTTCCCGGAGTGTATTAACTCAATGCATTTTACGGTCTAAAACAATAGCGCCCTAACTGGTAAGTGCTATGAAAAACGACGAAAAATAAACGCGCAAAGTTCGAGAAGTTTTATTTGCGCTCTAGCACTCGCCTCTAGCTCGCTCCGCGTCGGATTTTTATTTTAGATGAAATATTAGAAATATTTTTTTGGGCGAAAGAATGGAGTCCGAAGGGTTAATGCGTACCGATAGAGCCGTGCGGTAGACTGGTATAGTCGTTGTGCATACGAAATTAGACGCAGAGGTAAACACGAACCGGCAATTAAGACCGTAAATAATATCCCAATTTCGCAGAGAACTAGAAGCAGGTACAGCCCGGTTTGGGGGGATATAGGGCCAGGGATATCTTCATTATGGCGATCTGAATTCACTAGGTCGGTGTATAGCTGATAATGACATCCTTCCGGACTCGGTACACTGATAATATGGGCGAGATAAGCCGCCCTTATTGCCGCCCTTACCCCATTCGATTATAACTTTGCTCGGATTGCAATAACCTGCTAATGGCCTCGTCCTCTCGGAATTCTCGTCACACAGCCACTAAACGTCTCATAAAAATTGTGTGACACAGTTTTGTGATTTTTTTTTCGGAGGGATTTTCTTGATTGATGACGCCATTTATATCCGGACTTTCAAGTGGATCCTTTCGGACGCATTCAAAGGCGGTTTTTTATCCTTATTCTCGAATTTTAAATTGTCATAACTCTGTCATGTCGCGCTCGATAGAGATTTGTACGTTACACTTTTCGCGCCTCGGTTTTTTTTAAATTGTCTTTTTAGTAAAATTCGTAGCGACAATCTGTATATACACGTGGTGCTTTTCTAAAGGACAAGAAATATAGAACACGGTAGGAGAAGGAAACTTCTCGGACATGTACGGTCCACTGGCAAAACACGCCCTTAGGGTGCCTTAGACTTCCTTTGTGTACTTTGAGAGAGCAATCACGTGACCTGAGTGATAAAATTAGAACTTTTGGTCCTTCTCGGTCCGGTTCGGATGCGAATTTTCCCTGCCTTTTTTTAGAACGAATACTCGGATTTGTTTCCGAAACGAACCAAAAGAACGCGATGTCGACGACTTCTCCTCCAATCAATAGTTCTTTATAAACAACAAAGGTCGTAAATATTTCGCTAAATCCTATCGATAACATTTTTTTTTATTTATAAGTATCTAACGAATGTCGGTAGGTCAAGAGAGTAAAAGGCGCCGGTGATGTAATACATACAAATCGATTTTTGACGAAAATCCGATCGTATGTATCTGAAAGATATATCAAATATATCGAGATAGGGATCCTTTCTATGCTGGAATTGTCTTAGGAATTGCAAGTATCAAACATGTATCGATGATAGATAACGGCGTAATATTTTCTTTGGCGTTTCTCTATTCCGGATGCCGAGCCGAACATGAATTATTAGGTGGATTTAACTCTCTGGGTATTATAAATAATAAACCGGCATATAATAGATACTTCGACGTAGTAAAAGATTAAAATATGCTCCACGAAATCACAACCATATAAATTTTACAGCTCATTTGTTATTTATTTATTTTACAACATTATAGATAGTGTTTTCTGGTCTCGAATTTTATTCGCTTGTGGTGTGAATTTCAACAATATTTTTCTCTCTTATAAAACTGTTGACAATTTATTTGAAAAAATTACTATTTTAACAGGCAAAATAACACCTCTACGTTTTTAATTAAGTGTTATTAAAAAAAAAAGAAACACCCCAACAAAATGTCTCTACTTTGGAGCGAATAAAATAAAATAAAAAAACATGACAGACGCAACGTAGTAATGAGTCTAATTTTTTTACGACCGTAAGAGCGGAACGGGCGAAATATGTCCTATTCCTGGCGTTCTTTTTTTTTTCACTTTTCCCGACGGGATGTCGTTGGCCGTCCCTAAAGGGTCCGTTGTGATTACAGGTTGCGCATTCCTGACGTACTTCAGCCCTGAGAGCGCCCTCAACGCCCAGAACGCTCTGCATGAGAAGCACACGTTGCCAGGGGTAAGTTATTTTTATTATTTTTACGATTACTGCTTTTGACGCGAGAGGTTTTTCGCCTAACTTCAATACGACTATATGGGAAATTTCAATATGGAAATTGACATAATTTCGCAAAGAGTTGCAACGCGAATTTTTAGTAGAATAGCACACGATATCGTTATTTCTATTCTCTTATTTCGTATTATTATTATTGAAATTTAAAGAATGTAGGTATGTGATCTATCAATCATCCCATAAAAGGAGAACCTTAAATATCCGTGGTATAGTATGCATTATATCTTGTAATTTAATTTTCTGGCGTAAAATTGACATCTGGATCAGCTATTTGGACAGCAAAAACCCATTAGAAGAATTCCAGAAGCGTAAGCCAAAAATCTAAAAACTCGAGTAATCCCTCAGCCGTAAACGTGTCGGGTGTAGCATAAAAGAGAAATCACATCTGCGAGTTGCGGCGGCGTCGGCGGCTTTTCCCCCCAATCCCGCCGCCTTTTTTGTGTTTACCCGTTTCATCAAAGATTCATCCCGGCACGTCCATGCAGTACAATTCGCTTCTTCTCATATAAAGCAATTTCTTTTCGCCCTAAAATCGTTACCGGACCACCTGATTCCCGTACGGCCGCCGCCGCCGCCGCCGCCGCCGCCGCCTCCGACCGCAACTCCAAACAAGGGCGGTCTAAAAACTACACGTTTTTGCCGTGGTCGCGGACCCGCCGGATGGATTTTCCTTCAGTTTCGCGCGAAGCACAATGGAAAGCTTCCTCGGCCGCTTACTGAAAAATTCACGAGTTGCGTGAGAGGTTCGGAACGACTTTGTTGTCAACATCCAAAATCTTTATTCGCCTTTGTTAGGAAAAAAAAGAGAAAACCTTGGCTTTTGTCGAGACTAATGCTATAAATCCACACCTGTATCTACACGTCTTTACCGAGTTCAGAAAAGTTCGCTGAATAATGTAAGCTCTAATCAATTCAGTTAACTACAACGAGGTGTTCGGAATAAATAAAATATCTTGAGCGTAAGACGCATCTGCGTGGCGTAAGGCGTCGCGATTCGACGCTTTCGAATTCTGAAAACACGTTGTAGTTCTACGCTTGCACGCTTTACATTAGTCGCAGTAATATAAACAATCATGTCCGGCGCGTACCGAGAAAATACTAATTTCATTTCAGTCGGTGCTTGGTGCTTGTTTCTCGCACGGAAATCTGAACTTGGGAGAGATCTTGTACAGCATTCGGCCTTGAGATTGTTTCGTTTTCGTCGCTAGTGGATTTTCAGTGGGTTTTTCGTTTTGCTTATAATTTTGTGTCGTATAGTGCCTGTATTTGATCGTTGGAATTCCGCAGGGGCATTATGGATTATGACATGTTCGTTTTCCCGGAGCTGCTCGGTTACTACGACAGTAGTCTGGTCAGTAAATTGTTATTCAAATTGATCAACATTTATGAAAGATTCGTTAAGTTGGGAAGTCGAAAGAATTTTTCGACTATTAATTCTAATTAAAATCAACAAGAAAGGTGTTTAAGCAATAAAAAATCTATTTCTATTACAATGAACAAGAAAAAAAATCTATTTCTATTACAATGAACAATTAATTTCGATTTATCTTTCTAAACGGAATTATCTCTTCGAAAGTTTATGATTTGATGTTTTAATATTTTAAAAAACACGTTGCATGACGTAATTTTGTATTCGATAATGTTTTAACGACCAAAAGGGGCCAGTTTAATAGGCTATAAATCGCTTTATTACGGTTCGGGACTTTTTATTATTTGTTCAGGAATATTAGGATTTTCGCTGTTAATAGAGAGCAGCAGTTCAGTACAGGAAACTAGGCTTGTTGGATTTAATTGCATTCGTTTTGGAGCGAAAAGTGCATTGTTAAATCAGATGTATACATCTACCTACAAAGTTATTTTTAGAATTTAAAGCGTTAGAGTTTTATACGCTTTTTAATTTTTAATTTGTTCGATTTCCGCTACTTTTATTGGAGTTTTTAAAGTACAATTTTGAGCTTATAACTCTTGAATGCTTTTCTCCTCATGACTTATATAATTAGGTAGGGAATTTAATGAACTCGCCAAGTTAGCAGTATACATATATTTAAGTTGCCTTGTAATTTTCTTCGATACGTATTTCGCATTAAAATATTCAGATCCGTTTCCCTTTAAGAATCGCTTGTAAAACTTACGACTAAAAGCTACTTCCGTTTAAGTGCCGGGCGAAAGTTCGAGCAAAAACCGCCTCGTGCCGTCGTAAATATTTTCTTTATTGTAGAGTGCGAAGTACAAAATTAAATATAGAAGTCCATTGTGTCGGAGTTGGTGTATATGCGCGGAAACGGGACATTAAGAAAAGTTAGAGGGAATGACAGGGCATCACGCTAACCGGGCGGCTTCCATCCAGATTGGCACGCAAAAATTCGTAAACATCATCACAGGGGAAGTTTCCACCGGCATGATTAATAGTCGCGGGTGTTGTGGTTTTTAGTTGCGTTACTATAATAGCTTATAACGGCTAGTGTGTTAAGAATTTTTTCTAACGAATTTGTTCGTGTTTAATATTTTTCAATTTGCCTCGTATTAAGTGCAAATAATTAATACTTAACATGTTGGTGTGTAGAGGAAGGAATTCGTACGGAATTCCCTTTTATTTTAAATCTCTACGTTTCCTGACTTTTAAAATTTACGTTAAATAAAATGCGAGGAACAGTACATACATCATTCCATCGGCCGTAACGGCCATATGCCGCTGTTATCATAATGTGTAGCTACCTACAATATTATCATCCGGATCCAGAGGTACATAATATACGAAGCTTGTTGCCACGTGCTCTCGGCTTTTATATTGTGATAAATTTACAAAGCGTTTTGTTACCCATTGTATGTTATTAAAGAGATTTATTTTTTTTGCGAAGCTATATTAGAGTTGATTTTTATAATACCTAATAGAAATTAAAATGAGTACTAACAACTCATGAAATTATTAATCATAAACATAATTTAGTATGTAGATACTTGTATACATAATATTCATAATGGATGTAGGGTTGTTTCCTCATCAACGTTTTCTCATTGATTTCGTTAATCATACTTCCATGAGGCGGCATAATCGCCGCTCATTATTCTCCGCCGCCGATGCTGATGCGGAATTTCTCATGCTCATCCAACGTTATAAACGTCTAGCTATCAGATAACCTATAAATAACGACAATCCGACGTTCTATCACAACCCAGTAAAACGCAAAATATAAATTGTCTTCATTAACTCGATGTGCCATTAGTCGAGAGCCGGGCGTATCTGGGAAGTTAACATTTCACTTCATAGTTTCAATTGGAAACTTCGCCTAAACTTACTTCAATTATTGTTGTTGCTCTCGAGTTTAAATTGAACACATAAAGCGCGGGAATGGCACGGAACCGTCTCGCCGAAAACCGGCAGAACGTCGGCTTGAGATGTGTTAAAGCGTTCGAAAAAGTATAAAGAGAGGTCTTTTTGATCAAATAACCAATCCGAACGAGGTTTTGTATTCCAATCTACTTCGCTGATAGGAAAGATACTCCGGTGTTCTACGCCGGAATAACATCTGATGTTAGATGTATCTTTTAGATATTTAAAATTGCTTCCTTGAATATAAATCTTTCAATTTTTATTTCAGAATGCTATACGTTTTTACGATTACCCTTCATCACTAGTACTTGAGCTATAAATACAATGTTTTAAGATTCTACACAAATATACTAATCTTTACATCGGTTTTTAAATTGATGCAGTAGCGTTACTTTCATGAAACGCTTGGTTTATATTCCAGTTAGTAGATAAATAGTTTGCAATTAACAGCACTGGTTTCATTGACCATGTGGCTAACAAGGTAAATCTGGTTCGGGCTTGCAGATAAAATATCTAACGTCAATAAACACGCACTATTTCCGTTCACCTACTACAAACATTTTTAACTCATTACGAATTTCGGACCAAGAATAATATACTTATCGATATTTAAGAATAAACATTCGAACGCTCGGATTCGGTTTGTTTGGAAATATTTACAAGTGTTTACAGCAGTGTAGGTATATTCAGATGTGGTAATTTTGGCTAGTCAGTGAGCTTTTCTTGTATAGTTCCATACTTGAGACGAATTTCTCTCACACCATCTTCCATATTCGAAAACGGGCTTAACTACAGCTTAAAAGGGAAACAAAGCTGTACGCGTTTTACAGTACGACGAACCCGCGCTCGCCTTATGAATTCTAAAACATTAATTAGGAAATTGTCCATCGGGGGTTGATGTAGTTCACTTGCGATGCATACTAACCGAAATTGAATTCGAAAGGAGTTTCGGGAAAATTACTCCGTTGCCAACTTTGAAATTTCCGTTTCTTTTTTGTTTCGGCCGCGTCGCCGTCGGGACGTCAGTCGCGTCCGCTCCGAGGATATGGTTCATGAATAAATTAACCTTTCGAAGTTCATATTTAATATCTGTACCTCGAGGTACCGTGCAAAAAGAGTTAATTCCATCATTATATCTACTTCTTTTCGAGTTAATACTTTAATGTAGATTATATCTACAGTATAATATATAGAAAATTTTGAGAGAAAATCGGGCAACGTTGCTTTATATGTATAAGGAGAGAGAAGACGGCTGGGAAGAGATTGCTCTGGCATCGCTTCGGGACCGTACAGCTGAAATTCTCGCAATGAGGAATATTAGAGTTCGTCACCAGATTAATGATTTCTGTCTTGTAGGCAATTCAGTCAGGCACTCACTAATTTTCCGTTCCCTATGCAATTTTCCCGCTTTCTCGGCTCGCCAGACACGCGGATGGTGCTCCGAATTCGACATCGGAATATTACGTGGAATTTAAATAGCGCGTACTTTTCCGAAGGACCGTTTGTTTCAATAATGTCGTTCGGTTTGTTTGCTATAATAAATTCCATTTGATAAATAAATACGCGGTAGATATGGTATGGTTGGAAACTTAGACGTGTTTGTAAGTAGGTATAG